ATTCAGCAGTGAGACAGTGGGTGGTCTGTGTGTAACATTTTCTTCCTTGACAGTACTGGCAAAGCTCTTCTTCAATATTCATGGTACCTGATCCACTTTACAGCCTCCCATTTAGCCTGAAAGCAGTTGGGACAGGCGTGTCCTTGGTTTATTATTCAGAAATATGCTGTCTTGGACACTGTGTAAAACAACAGCACAAATCTTGGTAATAGATAATGAATGTTAGAGTACCTGCTGCCAAAGCCAGGCAATGCCAGTTCCCACAGGAAACCTGCAGTATCGTCTGTTGGTTCAATTTCTTTATCAACCTAAAGAAGACAACACTATTTTAAAAAAAGTGTCCACAAATACAGTATCACCCGATGTCGAAATCATGACTTCCATTCAGATATTCATTCTACACATAACGTATGGTTTTGAGACTGAGGAACAGAGTCTTAAAGGTGATACAGACCCATACACAATCTGTGGAGACCTTTAGACACTTGACTACTAACTCCAACTACATTTCCTGCTATAACACTGAATCCTGCCATCTGGAAATGGTGCCAATAGCTGGTTCTTGGTGTTCCCCTCGCTATTCTTTTTCAGGCATCGACATTTTTCATGCTGTCAGGGGCCTAAGCAGTTCCTATGAGTTACAGCATCAAAACCTCTTCAGCACGTCAAAGGTTCAAGTTATTTCACAAAAACATTATTTTTAAAATGGCACTATCACATTGACACATGAGCCTGTGCCTCTGCTATATATTGGAGCCACCTGCAAGTTAAGGACTGTCTTCCCACACAGACCTTCAGCTCAAACATTAATGTTTTGAGACTGAAACTCTTCCTTTAGATATTGTTTCAATAGTGACAGCCACCCTAGATAGATGTTCCAAACTTCTGCTCTGTACTGAATCAGCAGTGGCAGATTGAATAAGAGACAGACTACATCTGTTGTTAATGTAGCATGATACAACACCATGAAGTACAAAGGGACCAGTTATCTTTATTATGGTGATAAGCTGAGACCTATTGTCTGTGAACTGCTTTGGATGGAGGAGTCTTGGTGTCTGCCACTATCTACACGTCCTTGCACTTAACCCTGTTAGTGCTCTGATACAGGTAAGAGTCTTCAGTTACTACTTTAATGTAAGTTGAGCACTACTCCAAAATTTCTGAGCAACATTCACTATTCAGAATTGCAGTAGGCTGCTTTAGTAGCTTTGCTGCTAGGAGGCAACACTGCAAAAGAGTTTCAGAGCTGAAGTGCCAGTTCACACAGCCATATATTTTTTCCCCATTCTTGAAATGTATCTCCCATCTCAGAGGACTTCCTAGGGACTGGAATAGAGATGGGTATCACACACAGCATTTCTATTTTTGGGTCCTCCCTCGTGCACCTCTTTGCTCTGTACAAAACACATGGTCGCATTTTTCACTGACAAAGCTGAGCATGCTCAGATTTTCTTTTCTGTGGCCTAAGCAGCCATGGGCAGAAGCTCTGTCCTGCCCAAGCCTCCTGAGGACTTGTCAGAGTCCCAGAGGGGCTCAGGGAGCACCAGTACAGTATGGAAGAAGAGGAGGAATCACCCTTACATCTCTGCCTGAGAAGTGCCCGATTACTGCCCTGCTGAGAGAAAGCGAGGCTCCCACCATCTCCAGGCTGGAAGGTGAGCAAGCCTTGATGCATCACCTCCAGGAAGCTGCCTTAAGGAAATCCGAACTTGTTAAAAATTTACCTTGGTACCGTCACTGCATCTTCTATAGTGGTGATGCCCAACTGTCCATCGCTACCGGCGCCCCAGGAGAAGAGCTGGCCCCGGTCGCTGAGTGCCACAGTGTGAGACTCTCCACAGGCCACGTGCACGATGTGCTGCCCGGCCAGGGCTCCAATTTGCTCTGAGGAAAAAAGAAAAATCTCTCCGGTTAGAGGACTCATCTCAGTAACACACAAACATCAGGTCTGGGCAAATCTATATGCAAAGGCATTCAGATGGGTGCACTGATCCTAAACACTTCCTAAGGAGGAAAACACCAGGTTTTACTGAAAACACGTAGCTGCTGAGCTCTTCTGAAAGCCTGGTCTGCAAATCATAGGAGAAAGGCAGATACATGCCCCCAGGCACAATGATAGTCTACATATACATACCCTCACAGATACAGGGAAACCTTTCAGGTTATTTAGGAACAAATAGACTTCCCAGATTTGAAGTTCTCTCACTCAGTTTTGATGTGGGGATCAGCCAGGACCCAGAAGTCAGCAGACCCTGGAAAACATATTTGACCTTCCACAGCTCTCACGTCCATCAAAGGCAAGTCATGCACAAAGCTAATCAACCCATCCACCCCTTGCTTTATTGCTTAAGGCATGAAAGTGTATGTGTTACGACATCCCCTGTGCTAAGTCTGGAACATGTTTGAATCTATCAACCTATTACTACCACTGTCAGACACTCATAAAAAGAGTCCCATAAAAAGGAAGCAAATCAAGAAGGCCTTACAGAAGAATAAGAGAAAAAAAAACCCAACCCTCTCAGTCCTCTGGAAGGTCACCCATAATTGACTTTTCATCATTACATCATGTTAGGCAACTGAAGTAGGTTTGACCACTACTCTTACAGCTTCAACAACCAAATCTTATTAATTAGGCAAAGTTTTTACATATGGACATGAAAAAGTTTTGGGTTGCAATTAAACATTGGAAATAACACCCATCTGATGGAAAAACTGCCCAAAAGCCAGAGAAAAGCAAAGCTGTTTTTCTTTTTTCTTCCCTAAATAAATACAAATGTTGCAGGTGGATGAAGAGAGATCTTACCCTGTAAGCTACAAGGCAGTGATCAGTTTTATTAAAGTCCCACTTGCTTGCAACATGAGAGGGAGGGTAGTTACATGTCATTCTATGAAAATGACACCACACATCAAGGGCATCCAGAAATCATCAACATACTAAGCACCAAAACCTGCATACTAATCAATTTAAGTCTTAAACAAATTTAAAAGGAAGGCACCTCGAGGAGGGTTTGCCTTCTAAGTCTGGAAAATGAGGAGAAGAATCTCTAATGAATGTTATGGAAGAGAAAGGTGACAATTACTTAAGTATGTAATCTGACAGAGGAAAATGCTACCTGAACATGTGCCTCCTTTCACTCAAAAGATTTAATGGCAATAGAGGTGCAGTTCACAAGTAATAAGCACGCAAACATCTAGGAGGGCTCGAGAACCAGGCCTGCCTGCCGTCCAGCCATCCTTTAGCCCTGCCATCTAGTAACACCCTTTACCCTGCAGCTCTTTCCAGCAGGACCGATTTCACCCAGCCCCACTGCCAACCCTATGCAAACACACAGACAGGTTTTTGAGGGCAGTAATTCAATTTACACATGCAGTTTCCACACTTAGGCCCATCAGCATCCAACTGTAGCACTGCTTGGCAGCCTGTTTTATGTTCATTTGCATATATAATTGAGGGAGCCTATTTTTATCCATGAGCTCTAAACAAGAAACAGCTGTATGGGCTGGTCAAGGTCAATCACAAACAACAGACAAGGTATCTCAACAGCACATGTGGCTATGGTCTCTTCTCTCACTCAGCAAGACAAAAATACCCGCTGTAATGTGCCCGACACACCACCTAAGTTCAGCCAAGTGTGTTTCTGTACTGGGACCTGAATGTCCAAAACTAAAGCTCCTGCTGGAGAGGATCCCGCCATCAGAAGAAGAGGGATGAAGCCATCCTCATCTCTGCAGGGAATCCCTTTGATTCGTGAACCCATCACACTTTGCTATAAGCTCACTGGCCAGGGTGCACTGAGACCAGCCGTTATCCAGAGCATCTGAGCTCTTAAAACTGGTCACAAACTCACCAGCATGCCCTTCTTCCAAAGCTGGTCCCTGCACACTGCCAAACACTCCAGGGGACAACACGAGTCTGAAAAAATGACAACGTGGACAATATGGGAGGCTAGGGCCTCTGTAATATAGACAGTGTTTTCCTACTTGCAGGCATGACTGAGCTAACGTCTTCCCTGGGAAAGCAGTATTTGCCACAGTAAGTGTAAGTATACTCATCTTATTTGCTGTGGAAGTACTACTGCGAGTTGCCCCACAGCCATCGGAGCATCTTTGGGAGGTGACAGAAGACCCCAGTGACCAAAGATCAGCATCAGGAGCTGGAGGAGACAGCACTCTGAGCACAGCAGCACTGCAACTAGAAAAAACATGCCCCAAGGTATCAGGAGGCTGTGGCAAGGACTACCTAGCCAGGGCTTCACACACTGGGACACAGAGGGGACATCCAACGGGTTTAGAAATCCGGAGTAGTTGCTTCACTCCATGCAGACTCCATCTTAAGTTTAATTTGGCAACACAAACCTGACCTTGCTCTGTGTGCCACCCCAGGGGACTAACAAATACTGACTTGTTTTGAAAGGCTGCCTTGTGCCCCTGAAAGCCTTCAGGGGCTGCATGCTCACCCAAGCAGCAGAGTACAGCCTCACCTGGGCTCGCTGGGTGACCACAGACAGAAAACACATGCCTGTCTTGGAGCTGAAGACCTTTGCCTTTAGAAATGTACACATATGGCCCACCTCACCACAGTACATTTCTAAGACCCTGTCAATCACAGCTTGCCTGCAAAGTCATGAAGAAATGTAAACACCGAAGAGTTTAAGTTTTACATGCTCACACACATCTCTTTCCAGGAAAAAAGCCAGCCTTCCCCTGGGGGCACAGCCTGCCCAGGCAGCCCAACAAGGGTCCCAGTTCACCGTCAGGCTTGCCAGGCCACCGAATGTACCATCTCCCTGCTAACACAGGTAGTATAATCAAAAACATCTGACTATTTATTACTCCTTTGTTCACCTTCCACCCCTTCCTCACATCAAAATATGACATGTTTTAGTGGTTGGTATACATTCGTTTTAGTTTCCAGAGCATCACAACACCATTGCTCATTCCTTAGAAAAGATGCATCCCTGCACTGAGATGAAGGGTACAAAGGGTGAAGTTTATTCTTACTATTGTGTCTTCAGTAACTGATGAATAAAACCAGTCAAGAGGAGCTTAACAGGCACAATTATATACAAAGCTAAGCAGAACAAAACCCTGAAAGCAACAGGGAAGAGTTGAAGGAATTACACAACACAGTGTTTCAACATGTCATAAAACTTTCGAAAAACAAACAAAAAAAACAAGTTCAGGAAGTACACACTGATCCAATCTTTTCTTTTTGAAGCCATCAGCTGTCTCAAAACAGCACCAACACTTGGAAGTCATTTATCAGTCCTTCATATCTGATAGAGTTCCAATTTTCTTTTCTCTCTTCTGTCCACTTTAACTCATGGATCTCAACATAAACAGACATCAAGGTTTGACTTTACGGTCTTAACCTTGTTAGACCATTTCATAAAATACACATTGGACCAAAGAACAAGGTCCAAGCAAAACACCTTCAGGACAGCCCTTCTCTGAAGGGCGATAGCCCTGGTTCCCAGGACTGCTCTTGTGTTTTCTTGCCTGCCTGTGGTTCACAAGGACACTCCAGCAAGAGCTGAGGACAGGTGCTATATGTTCTGTAACTTGGCCTTCTGACAGCGAGTACATTTACCTTGAAGGTTTGGAAATGGTAGCAAAGTTAAACCAAGAACAAAAACCCCTGAAAAGCCCACCTTCAGTCCACAGCTTCACTATTTATAGAACAGGGCTTATGCTTTGTCCCCACAGCGCTGGAAAGCTATACAAGATCTTCAGTGTCTGCAACTGCTGGAAGCACAAAGCACTCAGTTATACTGCACTGATTAGAATGCACAGGCAATGAATGATTAATTAGCTTTCCTACTCCTAGGAAGTTTATCAGAGAGTTGGTTCACCCTTTCTATGTATAGCTTCCAGCTGCTCACAAGACAAGCTTTTGCCAGAGGACATGGCAGAATCCTTCAGCCATATGTGTACCGGGACGTACACGAACAGTACCAGATGGCTTCTACCATCTGAAAACAACGTAGAGAAACTATCAGCCCTGAGGTTACACCTTCGGCAGCAAAATCTGGATTTCTTTACTGGTGAGAAGCCATGGCTTGGAAGCGTTTCAAGTGATTTCAGTCTGCTTGGACACCTGGCCAAGACTCTTCATTGCCTCCCCAGCTTGACAATAAGCAACTCAGAGTATTTGCTCATCTTGGTTGTTGCTGTCTGCTAGGAAAGTGCTCACAGACTCTAAGAGAGGTGTCTTACTAGCTTGCCCAGATAAGAAAGAGATGGTGGCAGAAACACAGGGAAGGGAGAAACAACTGTTGGCAAGAAATTTCTCTGGGTTAAATGCTAGAAGCTGGCAAGTCTGAGGACAGATAAGCCAATTTCTTTGCATTGCCATGCTTGTTAATATAGCCCACATCCACACTGAGGATGCCTGAGCATTGTGCAACCAAGATCTAAAAATCAGAAGTGTCACATACAACTTTTTAATGCACAAGGCAGCTGACTATTTAATCAGACACCAATAGCAACCTAAACTTCACCCATACAGTCTTTCTGTTCTGTTCCAAGTACTAAAAAGCCTTAATTCTTACAGGAAAAGGAGCTGAGTTCTCTCCTTTTGGAGATGAATTACACCAACACATGAAACCATCTACAATGTAACACCAACAGCATTAGCACTCATGGAAGCCTGATCCAAGAGCTAAAACCTGCTACTGCCTTCAAGGTGCACTACAAGAAAGTGAGAAAAACACCATGGCCCAAACTTATCAGTCACCAGCATTTCATTAAACAACTGTACAAAAAGCAAGTAAACAATCCTGGCTCACCAAACTCCCTGACAAGACTTTTAGACATTAAATAGGAAACTTCAGCTGACTGTTGATTCCCCAGTCTCCACTGGCACATCCCAGAGATGTTGCTGC